ATATCCACACATTTGACAAAGTTCCCAGCTTCGATTACCCCCTTTCCCATAACATTACGTTATTTTTCATTTACCAACAACACCATCGACTTTCCAAGTTATATGATTTTTGTGGTTAAAAACTCTTTCAAAAAATTCTAGTCAAACACGATAACGCTGTTTAGTACTATTAGTTTTATTTAACATTATCCAATTAAAAGTAATTCATTAATATAAACTTCACTATCAAAAAACTAGTCACGCCTTCCTTCTCCCATATAATTTTATCTCTCCTAGATCCATACCACTATCACCTCTTACACGTTATAAATATAAATTCCCACCTTATATATGTCAGTCTTATTGAAATAAAATTTCAAATTATATCACTTTCCTCAATCTATATTCTCAACACTTATCTACAATTCTAACAGTTGAAACCCCAACCATTTTCACACCCCCCACCATATTCAATATCAAGTTTTTTCTCATCATCCTATTTTAAGCGTTATTATCAGATCTACATTCAAAAACGGGGTTTCTAACATTTCTTACCCCCACTTAGTCAATATCCAATTTGTGGTCAGCATCTATTCACGCTTTTATGGCATATCTTACAATTCTAACCTTTATTCCCGATGCATGGGCTCTCCCCCCTCCATGAGGCAAGAGCAGGTTTGGGGCCGCATCATAGCGGTGACTAGTTGTTTCATTCTTACATCATATACTGTGACCATCCATAACACGTGAGCCCACGTCTACACGTATATTAGTTTCCCCTGTTCCCTTTATCACCCCCCTCCTTCTAGGAACACCATTAGTGGTCGGGCCATGAGTCTAGTGTTACAGCATCCCGTTCCGCCTCCAGATTCTACGACATTGGAAGGAGCATGGCTATATGTCAGGATGTTTTGTGGAGAAAACTCTGCGAGAGGTTACGCTCTGCAATTTTCCTAAAGCCACCACATTTCGAGTGGTAATGGCAGTACGTCTCATTTACTGGGCTCTGCAGAGGCCTGGAAGCAGATGTCTCCTCTGCATAGTCGAGGCCTGCATGGAGGTAGACCCGAATGACATCCACCAGGGTGGCTGTAATCCCCTTACTTTCTTGATCCAAAGGTGAAATCAGGCGGGGTTCTTCCCATACTGGACTTTCTAGTTAACGATAGCATATCCAAACGGCAGTATCTGATGTGTCCACAATTGTCTGATTTATTATGGCATGTAGACTGGATTACATCCAATATACCTTACTACTCATACTTCCCGTATCCCAAATATCCATAACACAGTAGAATCATCCTCTACTCATTTGTGATAGAGGAATTAATAGTACAGCTTCTCCCTTAATTTACTCTCACGCGCCTGCACATTTAAATGTTTGGAATCTGCACTTGTTCCCGAACATATTGCCGTGTGATTAATAAAATGTGAACCTTATATTCGAATGGTTAACTGTTTCCACACCAGTTAATAGTCCGAGAGCACCTCCAATTTGTCTATTCCACAAACAGTCTTCTTGTAAAGATTTGCCATTTATAATATCAAGTCAGAGTCCCAACTATGAATTACCCTGGTCATATAGACTCTGATATATTACTTTCTTCATTTTCGTTGTAATACTTACTTATAATACCTACTGTCCCTGTAGTATCATGTCGGTCCCAGATTTCCTGCTCTTCTCCTCATTTTCCTTATTTGGTTTCATTATCTGTCATTCTTTGGTGCGGCTAGGCTGAGCCACATGAGAAATTTACAGAGGTTGGTTTCTGCTTTCCAGGCTTCACCCCTCCTTGACGGGGTGGAGTCAGATCTGGTTCACCAAGGAGGCAGCATCGGTACGTCATGTCTGGCTCACTCAGTGTCTTAATGCGGGTCGGAGTGATCATGGGGCCTGCGCTGTGTCTCACGCCGAGGTGTTCACGGACGCGTCTGCTCGAAGGATGGGGCGGGGTCCTACTGCCAGATGCTCTGTAGGAGGATGCTGGTCGGACTCAGCCAGTACACATCAACCTGCTGTGAGATGGAGGCTAGTGCACTGTGTACTGCCTGCACTTTGCCCATCCGCTGCATGGTGTAGGACACGTGTTGGTGCGTCTCAGACAACCCACAGTGGTATCTCCTATTGACAGAGGCAGTGGGGGCACCAGGTCACCCGCTCTCCATCGTCATGGGGCGACTGGTGGACGCTGTGTGTGGCGGCGGCTTACACCTCCTGACTCTCAGGGCGCGCAAGTACCGGGGGTCCGGAACTTGTGGAGCCGTCTGTGTATGTCCAGGGGGGGCCACTCCCAGGTCGAGTTGGGCCTGGGCCCCTCGGGTAGGCGCGGGATTAGGCTGTCGTAGGTTTCGGTGGTCCTGTTAGTCGACCTTTTCGCCAGTGCAGAGAACGCACAGTGCACGTCCTGGTTGCCTTAAGGGGAGCGGTCGAGGCGCCTTTAGGCGTGGGACGCTCTGGATCTTTACATGGCCAGGCGGACCTGGTGTAACGCTTTTTCAACGGTGGTTCTCTGTACGGTCCAACTGCGGAGGATCGAACAGGAGAGGGAGGTCGGTGATTCTGGTGGCTCCCGGACAGCCCCCCCGGGGGGAATGCCTGTTGGTTCCCCTTCCTGAGGGGCATGGCGTGTGATGGAGTCCCTGGGCCCTCTCGGACGAGCGGGTGGCTTAGTCCAGGGGGCAGGTGCCTGTTTTCACGTTTCGATAATCGGCGCAGGCTCAGGGTTTGGATGGTTGATGAGGTCGGGAGCCTCGTAGGTTGTGGGTCTTCCCTGCTTCGGTGGTGGAGACAATTCAGGGTCGAGGGCGCGTTCCAACCTTGAGGGCTCAGCCACGAGTTGGAGGCTATTCAGTGTCCTGGTGCGGATTCCGTTCTGGGATCCAGGTTTTGCCCGCTGGAGGGGGTCCTGGGATTCCTTTTAACCATTGGGCTTTTCTGGCAAGGGTAGGGCTGTCGCTACCTTGGCTGTGTTTGGGTCTCCATTACTTTCAGGTGACTACGGTGTTTCGGTGGTTTCACATGCCCGCTCTCACCCTTAGATTAACTTTTCTAGCGGGGGGCGCTCAGGATGGAGGCCCGCTCCATAGAAGCCTCCTCGGGTTGTGACTCATGCGCGTTGTCTATGGGGCTGTCGTGGTTCGCCTTATGAACCGGCGGCGGATGTATTCCGAGTCTCTATTTTTTGTCTTCGCTTTTAAGACGGCTTTGCTGTCTTTGGCGCCCGCCCCCCCACAAAAAAGGGGCGGGCGATTTGTGTGCGCTCTCAGTTCATGCGTCGTGCCTGTCTTTGGAGGAGGACGACGGCTTGGTGGAGTTGTGGACATATACGGCTTTTCTTCCCAAGGTACATCCACGTCGGGCCTTTAGGTCGTGAGTTGATCTAGGATTAGGCTTTCCACGCCGCCGCACGCCTGCCCACGAGGCGGAGCGGCAGCACCTCTCGTGTGTCCTTTCAGTGAATTGCTGAGGATTACGGGCCTTGACGTCGTTCATTCAGGTCGGGTGATCAGCTGTTTGTGTGTCTGGGCCCATGAAACTGGGGCGCCGCTGCGGTCGGCTGCTGGCGCATTGGGGGCCATGGGTGCCAGGGGTGCGAGGGCGTATCAGGGCGCAGGGCCTGGCCCCCCCGGTGGGTTTCAGGTCGAATTCCACGCGTGGGATGAGCGGGCTCTACGGACCATTCTCGAGGGGGGCGTCGGTCGAGGGAAGTTTGCACGTGCGGCTTCTTTGGCGGTCGTCCTGCTCTTTAGTTACGGTCTTATCTTTAGGATGTGTCGGATGCGGTCGGTGGCCTTCGTGTCTGTGTGAAGCGGTTTGAGTTGGACCGTTGGGGCCTACCTGAGGAGTGGGCTTCGGTCCTATTTTTCGACCTGGTGCAGGAGATCTTGGGAGAGGCATTCCTACAGGTGCAGGGTTTTTTTTGTGTGTGTATGATCGGTCTGCGAAGGTATACATCAGGGGCTCTTGGGAGGGAGAGGCGTCGGTGACTTCGGTGACCTACGATTGGTGGTTTAGTGGGGGCGTCCTTGGTAGGAGTGGGCACGGTAACACAGCTGTGTTTCTTCTGCCCTGAGTCATCTCACGGTTGTGCTGGGTTCTTTGCTCGGGCGGAGCTCCAATCACCCTGTCGCTGGCCGTGTGGGAGTACATGTTCCTACGGCCTCCGCGTTGTGTCACCACTAGCGATAGTCCTAAGGGACGTAGCACCATGACGTAGAATTAATAGTTACCTAATGTAACTTAAGTTCTACGAATAGGTGCGTAGTCCCTTAGCTACGAGCCCATCAGGCCAGCCGGCTTGGCAGAGTTCAAGAGGGGGTGCGGCCTTGTGCAGGGGCATTTATAGAGGAAGGTGGCTGGTGATTGGAGCAAATTATTTTGATCTCTCTGGCGTCTGTGACCTGGGGGTCACGTGATATCCCACTAGCGAAGTCCTAAGGGACTACGCACCTATTCGTAGAACTTAAGTTACATTAGGTAACTATTAATTACCAACCTGTGGCACACCTGGGGGAAACTCATTAACATGCGCCGCGGAGAGAGAGAGAGAAAGATAGAGAGAGAGAGAGAGAGAGAGTGAGGGAGAGAAAGAGTGTGTGTGAGAGAGAATCACGAATGGATCACGCGACACCAGAGAGGGCACCATACACCCACCTCCCTCCACCACCTCCTCCTCCTTCGCTTTTTGGCAGCAGTTTGTTTTGAAGTCAGCAACAAACGCGGATCTAGTCTGGGCACAGTGCACAGGGGAAGCGCTTCCTGATAATAATATATATATAAAGAGAGGAAGAAGGAGAGAGAGAGAGAGAGAGGAGCGCCTATTTCTTCCATTGGAGCCAATTGAGAGCCTGCGCACACGCTCTCTCCCTCGCTCCCTCGCTCACTGACGCATTGTGGACTGATAGGGGGCTCTGCAGAACCCCTGGCTTCTCCAGCATCCACCTCTCTCTCTCTCTCTCTCTCTCTGTGTGTGTAAAGGGGAAGAAGAACACATAGCAGACGCGGATACGAGACGAGAGAGATGGCCGTGGTGCAGCTTGACACCGGTGCGGAGGAGCAGCAGCAGCAGCAGCAGCCAGAGAATGGATTCGTATCCTCAGAAAACTCTTTGCTCACGCGTATTGACGGGGCCGTGCTGCCGTTCCTCGGGGGATTCGGGAAGTACCAGAAACAGATGATCGTGCTGACATGGATCCCGGCGATATTTATTGGATTCAGCCAGTACTCGGACAATTTCCTTCTGGCGCAGCCCAACAATACATGCGTGCAGCCCTTGGCCAACCTGAGCAACGTGACAGGCGCCGGGCTTGCGTCGCTGCTGCTGGACGCTCCGTGGAGGAATAGCAGTGGTGGGGCTGACGTCCAACACGCCAATGGGAGTTTCAGAAGCGGTGGTACTGGACACAATGACAGTGCCGGCAGCATGCAGTGCAGGTGCAGCGAGTGGACCTTTGAGCTGCACATTGGCCTGGTGGAGAATGTGGTTACCAAGGTATGGCTCCATTGTATATAGTAGCCCTCCTGCTGTGCTTAGGAAGAAATGTTGTGTCCTTATGAATTATTAAAAAAGAGGCATGTCGGCTAGTCCCCAATCAGATGTTACAGTTTCTCCTGTCATGCTTGGAATTCCTATAGTTCCTCTCTGAACTCTCTGAACTCCCTGCAGTTGTGTTACTCAGCTTGTATGGCAACCCCCTTATTACATTGCATATATTTTTTTCCTCCAGGCAAGGCAAGTTTATTTGTATTGCACAGTTCATTTACAAGACAGCTTCAAGTGCTGAACAAAACAAGATATAGCACACAAGCCATTCAAGTCATAAATGATCACCAAAAGAATAAAGAAAACAATCCCTCAGTTGTAAGGCTCCACGTGACAAGTGGATTTGTTCAGTTCCACATTTATAACTGTTATTATATCAAGTTAATTTGATATCATTTTGAGTGCCATTTATAACATTATAAGCACAACTTTTGTAGCATGGTGGCAGTGGAGATTAAACGCAAGGATTTTATAAGATGTCCCTATATGGTGTAGTGATCAGGAAAAGATTGGGCAGAATTGACTCATTGTAATTAGCATTTCTGACTTGATTTCAATAACAATTCTACAGGAGTGAATCCTATAGAAAATCACTATTTATTGAATGAATTTGGAATGCATGCCAATTTGATGCGGTCCTAACTAGTGCTGGACTGATCAGGGAATCCCCTCACACCAGCATTTCTTGAGTTGTACCATTTCAAAGAAATATATGTGTTTTTTTAAATAGTTTTTGCCTCTATGATGACCTGTGTATACTGGTAAGGTTTTACAATAACTACAGACATGAGCGTTTGTATTAATTCATGGATAGTTAGTATAAAGTGTTGGCCCTATTACCCAAACATCTCACCAAAAGCAACACTGAGTGACACCACGCTGCTGACTCTGCTGACATTGACTCATTCAACCAGTAACATATTTTGTCAACAGAACAGCACCATTGACACAGTTTATTTCTAAAGGGCAAGTAATAGTAGCACTAATGTACTATAGAGTCACATGAGGATTTGGTTTGGCGCAAAGGTTACTCTGGTGCACATAATAATGCAACACCAACCCTGATCAAACATCTCCCACCCTCATGGCCCCAACCAAACAAACAAGACCTATTGCATGTCTGGCTCTTCAGTCATTTATTCCTATTGGCAATAGAATAGGAGTGATGATTGTACTATCTGTGGCTGAAACGTGTTCTTGTTGATTTATTGCACCTATTATACAGATAATATTGCTTACTACTTTGGCAATTGGATAACCGTCATCTGGAGTTTGCTTTGACTTTATGGCTCAATGGTGGCATATAGGACACACTTACAACTACTGTAGTCTCCAAGTATACCCCATGACCAAAAGCAGCCACACTGCAAAAAGTGATGAAAAATAAATCAAAAATGGCTCAAATCTGGCTAAATTTATCTTGATTTGAGCACATTTTGACTGCCTTAAAACAAGATTTGTCAATGGGACAAGTGGAGTGGTTTTGTTTAAAAAAGATATAAGAAATGTCTTCCTTGGAATGTTCTTGAAATAACACTAAATGGCTTGTCTCATTGGCAAATCTTTTTTTAAGACAGTCAGAGTGTACACAAATTAGGATAAATCCATTCGATTCGAGCAAATATTTCCTTATTTGTTATCATTTTTGCGGTGTATATAGAAAATATGCAGGCTGCGTTCCTTTTGTTTCACAATATAATATTGTCTTGTGTTTTTCTTGTCAACATTGGCTGAACAACCTTCCACCTCCAATTTTCAAGACATGCTTTGACAAATGTTTGCGTGTTTTTCGTCCTTAAAATAATGGTCAACATTATAGAGCTGTAATCTTGAAGTTACTTAGTTATTTAGTCGATGAATTGTTGTTAAAAGGATTGGTAATGGTGCTCTCTGCTGTATGTAGATTTCAGCAGAAGGAAGGCATACTGCATGTGTTAGCTGTGGTTTTGAGAGAAAAGCTATATTTTCTTCCTCTTTACAAACACAACCTCTGTTGAGTGGTTTGTAATAAAGATAGTCCTGACTAATGAAAGCTCCAACCAAATACTGAACTAACCTCTTGTAGTCGACCATAGCTCTCACAAATGAAGCAAGTAAATACTTTTGTAGTAACTATTCAAAGAGCTTTTCTCATCAAAGTCAACCATACACATCCAAGATCTTGTGTAAACATTGGATTGCGATAACCCCTGTCTCTTGCGCACCACAGTAATTTGTGTTTTAATCTTCTTCGTCTGCATCTTCTGAAGCTCCCATCATCCCATAATCAAAATCCTTATCTGTTGTGATGCGAGGCTTTGCAGCTGGGTCTGTGCATGAACATGTGAGAGAAATGGCCTCTCGTCTTATTGCTGATAATGTCCTTTGTAAAAATAAAAAAAAATCCAATGTAAACTGCAGCTGTGGTACTTGAGCTCGGCCTTTAGGGAGATGCGTGTGGGTAATTTGGTGGGTGGGGTGACATCAAGACGGTGCAATAAAGTGGTCAATACACGGGGGACCTCGCAAAAGTCTGCTCCTGCAGCTGGACGTGAGGTCATAAGAAAGGGATCTGGGTGGAGAACGCAGCAGACAGGGTGTTATCACTGTAATATGACATGGAAAAATGAATATTTGGCAATAAACTGTGATGCATAGTGTGGAAACTGCTTCGTATAGAACACACTTTTGTCCTTACAGGGGAAATTGTTTTTATATACTCGAACTAGTACCCATAATAGTAAAATGATAAATGAGTTGAAAGCTCTCAATCTACTGCATCTTCTATATTCCCACCAACACTGAAAGGACAAGATCTTCCAGAGAAAGTGTTCCCTAAGACAGTGTTCCCTGACCTGTTTGAGCCATGACACACCTTTGTCATTGCAAACAATCACATGGCACACCACCGGCTGAATTGGATACACAATTGAAACTCCACAGCTTTTATTAAGATAAGATAAGAAAAGATGTGCTTTATTTATCTCACAATTGGCATGGATAGAACACTCAGATTGTGCAAAAGGAGGAAATGTGCAAACATGTTACATGCAGGATATATACAGTGCCTTGCGAAAGTATTCGGCCCCCTTGAACCTTTCAACATTTCGCCACATTTCAGGCTTCAAACATAAAGATATACAATTTTAATTTTTTGTCATGAATCAACAACAAGTGGGACACAATCGTGAAGTGGAACGAAATTTATTGGATACTTTAAACTTTTTTAACAAATAAAAAACTGAAACCAAAATCAAACTTTTTGGCCACAATGCAAAACGATATGTTTGGCTTAAAAGCAACACAGCTCATCACCCTGAACACACCTCAGCTGTAGTTATCTGCAGTTCATCCAGAGTGATCATGGGCCTCTTGGCTGCATCTCTGATCAGTCTTCTCCTTGTTTGAGTTGAAAGTTTGGAGGGACGGCCGGGTCTTGGTAGATTTGCAGTGGTTTGATACTCCTTCCATTTCAATATAACTGCTTGCACAGTGCTCATTGAGATGATTAAAGCTTGGGAAATCTTTTTGTATCCAAATCCGGCTTTAAACTTCTCCACAACAGTATCTTGGACCTGCCTGGTGTGTTCCTTTGTCTTCATGGTTCTCTCTGAGCTTTAAACAGAACCCTGAGACTATCAAAGAGCAGGTGCATTTATACGGAGACTTGATCACACACGGGTGCATTCTATTTATCATCATCAGTCATTTAGGACAACATTGGATCATTAAAAGATCCTCACTGAACTTCTGGAGTGAGTTTGCTGCACTGAAAGTAAAGGGGCCCAATAATATTGCACGCCCCACTTTTCAGTTTTTTTATTTTTTTTTAAAGTTTAAATTATCCAACAAATTTTGTTCCACTTCACGATTGTGTCCCACTTGTTGTTGATTCATGACAAAAAATTAAAATTTTATATCTTTATGTTTGAAGACTGAAATGTGGCAAAATGTTGAAAGGTTCAAGGGGGCCGAATACTTTCGCAAGGCACTGTATGTACAATAAAAGTGGCAATTTAAGTGGCAGTCAGATATAGTGTCAATAGTAGTAGTGCAGGTTTTTTTTGTTTTTGTTTTTTTCAGTCTTATTCAGTGAATTAAAGTGACTTATTGTACAGTCTGACAGTCAGTCTGATTAACAAAGGGTTAAGTCCTTTTCGTCAAAGTGTATTATAAAGCAAATTCAAACAAGCACAAATAAGTCATCCTAATCATCTCACATGCTTTTGACCAAGTAGGTGATATTGAATAATTTCCGAAGCACACTTGTTGATTAACACTGCCCTGAGAGATAAGATGTGGAGCTCTATGTTACAAAGAGGAGGCTTGGGCATCTGTTTCACACAAGTGGGACTTGGTCTCTCAGCTGGCTTGGGAACACCACGGGATTCCCCTGGAAGAACTGGAGGAAGTGTGCGTTTATCTTTCCGTTGAATATTAATCCGCTGATTTGTCCTTTGCATTTGTCCTTCGCCAAATAAGTCGTTGTCACATAAAATAATAGTCAAATAATAAAAATGTTGTCGACCGAAAAAGCCAGCGACCGACAGCTCTAGTTTCCATCCATTTTCTAACCCTTAATCAATTTCTGGGTTGGGGGGTGGCAGTCAGAGCTACCACCCAATGCACATAGCACCAGCCTCCCAGCTCTAGTTAAATGTCATCCAATAGGACATACCAGACAAAGTCATATGATCTATATTAGAGATGAGTTAAACAGTTTATTATAAGCTTTCCAAATGGTAAATAAAGACAAAAAAGTTCTGATTCCATTGAGTCAGTCTGAGTCTATTCATTCACCTCATTAGATTAATCCTGGAGAAGCCATACATCAATCCCATACAACGTGCTTCCCGTTGCTTTTGTAAACAAATCTCCAAATGTCATGTTGACAGTAGCAGCAGTAGCAGCAGCAGTACAGCCTAGTGACAGGTTTGCGTGCCGGGCAGAGGAGCGCGCTTGTCTTCCCT